TAAAAATGGGTTAATTTAAGATAAAAGAACAGTTAGCAGAAAGCCTGCCACGGCCATACAGTTTATAAGTGATATAAGCGTCTGAGTGATTATTTTATAAGTGGATTGTGGGACTGCGGGGCTTGGGGAACCTGGAGAGAAGCCCTCCAGCTACAAAATAATAGTACAGATATTTGCTTATAGAAAAATTACATTTACACATGACAATGCAATTGTGTCTTTAAGTTTGTTTTCCTGTTGTAGTTTGATTACCTATTGAAAAGTCTTAAAACAAGAGGTAGTACTTAGCTGACTTTCATGAATAAAATAAAAACATTTTACACTGGCATAATGGGTTAAAATATGAAAATATCAAATTATAAAATAGCTAAGGCCACCTTGTTTTACTGCTTTTCAAGATCATAAAGCATGACCTCTCACAGGACAGGACTCATGAGATATCCCTGAGTGGGTTGTTCCAATAATAGATTAGAATGAGTTGTCTGCAGCCAAACAAACCATCACTGGAGGAGGGTACTCAACTTTGGTTTTCATAGTATACCACTGTAGTAAGGCTGTAAGCTTATTAATATCAGTGGTTAATGTAAAAACCTTTCTATTGACACTTCTAAGAGAAACAGTAGTGAGTTCTGATGTCAGAGATACATGGTTCACACTGTAGCTCCTTTACTCAGGATCAATCATTCTCAAGTGAGCAGTGCACAGTTGTTCCATAGGAATTGTGAGAAGACAAAGTGCTCAGGATAAAGCCAAATACCCCAATCCAGTGAAAAGTCATTGTTATTGTTTCTATTAAAAAATAACGCACTATACAAAGTGGAATCTTGCTTTAGTTTCTGTTAAAATTAGCTCATCTCTCTAGATTTTTATTTTAATATTACCCCAACCAGGGGGTGTTGTCGGATGGTATTTTGTTGGTGTCTTGGAATGTTAAGAGTGATGCAATTAACTGCACAGCTATACTGGGTGCGTTCTTTGTGTAAGGCAGTGTGATTTGTACAACCCCAGTCATTTCATTTTTGTAAAGTGTGTGTGTTTGTGTGTGTGTGTGTGTGTGTGCGCACATGCACATAAATGGAAAGTGGAGACAAGTATTGTGTGAATATGCAAGTGTGTAAAGGACAGAACACAACCATAGTTGTTGTTCCTCAAGCAATGTCCACTTTCTCTTGTGTGTGCACATATGACTGTGCTCATGGTGTACGGAGGCATTTAAGTTTATGTGTGTGATTGTGCCTGTGGAGGCCATTGACTGATGTTGGTTGTTCTTAATCACTCTGTGTTTATTTATTTATTTTTTAAGATAGGAGCTCTCACTTTCTTAGGGTTTCTATTGCTGCAACAAATTACCATGACTGAAAAGCATGTTGGGAAGGAAAGGGTTTATTTGGCTTACACTGCCACATTGCAGTTCATCACTGAAGGAAGTCAGGACAGGAACTCAACCAGGACAGGATCCTAAAGACAGAAACTGATGCAGAGGCCGTGGAAGGGTGCTACTTACTGCCTTGCTCCCCCTGGCTTGCTTTCTTATAAAACCCAGGACCATCGACCCAGATATTGCACCACCCAACATGGGCTGGGCCTCCCCACTTTGATCACTAATTGAGAAAACACCTACGGCTGGATCTTATGGAGGCATTTCCTCTCTGACGACTCCAGCTTGTGTCAAGTTGACACAAAACCAGTTAATACTACACTCACTGAACCTGAAGTTCACTGATTCAGCTAGACTAGCTGGCTGGTGAGTTCCAAGGGTCTGCCTATCTCCATTCACACATAGCTGGTGTTATACACGTGTGCCACCATGTTTAGCTTTTACTCAAATACTAAGAATCCAAACTCTGATTCTCCTTGTTTATGCAGGAAGCATCTACCATGCTAGAGGATTTAGTGACTGGGCTATTTCCTCAGTCTTGCACCTATTTTCTCAGAAAGGGTCTCTCACTAGCCTGAATTTGTCAAGTATACTAGGCTAGATGACCACTGATCTTCAGGGCTCACTCTCAGCAATTCTAGGGATTATACTCAAGTGCTACTGTGCCTGTTTTGGTTTTTGTTTGTTTGTCATGTGTTCTAGAGATTAAGCAAGTCTTTATTCTTGGAAGGCAAATACTTGACTAACTACACTACCTCTTCAGCCTTGTCAACTCTTCTAATCTTAAATTTTTTTTCATGCCAGTACTAGCTTATCTGTTTATACATGAGAAAACTGAGGCACAGACTGATTATGCCATGAAAATAGGTTTTGCTAATACTGGAAATTAAGCTATGGATTTAACCAGGGAGACTGGGGTTCAAAATGCATGAGGTGAGCCACTACACAGGCTTGATTACTTAAATAAGTTTTTCTTCATGCATAAATGGTCAAGTTTTAGAAGCTTATTTTTTTTGGCAGTGTATGCAAATGTAGGAGAGAGTGATCACACCACAAACTGTTCTGTATTCCATAATATCTATGGATAATATTTTCTTATTTTATATATGAAACTTTCAATATTTTTTCTTCTCTAGTAATTCTGAGTAGGTTTTTAAAAATAGCTACAAATTAAGAAGAATGACAAAAATTGTCAAGTAAATCCACATATTTGGTTTCCCTGAATGGAATGATGCACAAAATGTCTAAGAGTGATTATGTCTATATACTGTGACCAACAGTTAATTTTATTTCTTCTTGCAAAAAAAATGTTTATTATTGTTTGCATTTCCCCATTTAGATTTTTCTGTTTACACTATGAATGTTTGCATTTACTGTTCGTAGGATGGATGAGAAAAGAAAATAACATTTATTATGAAGATACTATTTAGAATCTACAAGTGCATCCCAAAAGGAGCATGTAAGGGAAGAGGCAGGAGAAGCAGCAAGCAAGAGGGAGCACTACATAGGAAATCTCAGTGCAGGAGGTGAGTGGGAACACCTGGCTGGAACACTGGGAAGCTTGGTTCAGTTCTGCTTACCTGGGATTAGGAAGCCACAGGGCCCTGGCAGCCCTAAAAGCAGGGCAGGGGGGCACATTCAGATAAAGCAAAAGCAAAACATTTTATTGGTTAGAGACAAAGAAAGTCATTTCTAATTTGTGCATTTCTATCCATATTGCAAGAAAAATCTATCCATTACAGTGGCTCTAAGTGGATTTTAGAGCCCAGTTCTTTAATTGGGAATCACAGGAAATGGCTTCCCTTGTTCAAGTGGATAGACAGAGAACATGAACTCTTTCCAAGTAGACCTTAGAAGTCCCCTCACAAGACTCTGCCATTTCTGTGGTGATTAATGTAGAGAATTTTTCAAAAGAATTACAAATTATTAAAAGCCATACCTTGACATGTGAATTTTTTGGAGGGAGTCGTGAGTAACAATTTATCTGCCATTTCTCCAGGCCCAGCACAGCGAGCAATTCCAGGTTCCTTATATTCCGACTTCACCCAGTCGGATAACCACTGCATGTTACAATCACAGTAAAGAGGGTTGGCTCCAATCGCTCTGGAAAAAGAACACCACAAAAGCACACATACACACACACACAAGTATGGAAGTATTGTTATTTCCTAACGGAACAGGTTCACAGTGATGCTCAGTAGAAAATCCCTATGGTTTTGTTGATGCCAACAATTTAGGAGAAAAATGGAGAAACTGCAGATGACCACTTTCCTTATTTTTGTAAAGCTGGTATAAATAATGATAACAGTTTCTTGGGCTTTACAAAGTATCTTCATACTTGGAGAGACACATGTTTCTTGGATGTTAGTATATTCTAAGTGCAAGTTAGCACTTCTTGTATTCTCCAATTATTTATTGAGAACTCGGTTACCATGCTAGATTCTGAGGACTCCAGTATGAGCAGGGAATCATTCTTAATCCCCAAAGAACTTCCATTTCTAAGAAGACTGAAGTATGGACAAACACAAGTAATCCTCAGTGGTAGTTACATAGCATAAGAATTTACAAGATGTCTGTAATGAGCAGGCTGATTTCTCTGGGAGGTGATGGTGGGTATGAAAATTCTACCCTACTTGGAGTAATTAATTGGATAGAAAAGTTTAAGGATGTTGCTTCAGGTAAAGGACCATCATAAAGACAAATGAAGCCCATTTTCCAGAGCTGATTTACACACTCACTGCTCTGTCATTTTCTGTTTTTTTTTCATTTATAGAATCCTGGATTTAGTTACTCAAGCAATAACAGTAATGGAGGAGTCATGAGGACAGCAGCTAGCATTTCTGACATCATTACAGTCTGCAAGAGCTAGGATTACCCATTTATAGAAATTACCTGATTTTATTTAAAAAAATAATATGTGAGGCCAATATTAATAACAAGTTATTATCATTAATTAGTGGGTTCAGAAATTCACCATGCTTGGACACAGGAGTTATGGTATGTAGGTCAGGACACAAGAGTTATGGTATGTAGGTCAGTTTTTCAAAACACAATTACCTTCTTACTAGTAACAGAAGTTTGCAGTTTCATCATAATCTATCTCATTCATTTTTAGGTAACTCTCTAACATAAACTTGCAAAATCGTAACACCTTATATTGCATAAATAAATGTTCAAATTGAATCAAGCATCACAATGCAGTAAATGTTTCTTTTGTATATATGTCAGCCTGAAAGAGTTCAAATCAAAACATGAACATAATGGTGTTTTTGATTAGTTTGTTCTCACGTCTATTGACATTTCAAAATGCCCTCCTGAATCAGAGGAAATATGAGAAGAAGTGAATGAGAAGAAACATTAATGGCCTTCAGAGTGAAGGAAGAATGCATAACTGAGAAGCAAGGCTGATCCGGGACAGGACAAAGAAACTTTGAACTGGATCACTGTTGTGGGGAGAGTCACATAATGAACATTTTGCTCAGGTCAAGAAGTATAGCCTTCTCTCATGCTGTGTGGCCTTTTCTGATCCATGACCCTAAATCCACTTTCTCCTTTATGTAGCATTCTCTAAGACAACAGCAGCTGTACCCCCGAAATTAACTGTTAATTCATACTGTATCTCACGAACAAGACATCTGAGGAGATTGCAAAAAGAAACCTTGATGTGGACATTTAATGAAGTAGATCCTGAGGCTCAAAGATGAAATGGTAAAGATCTTGCCTCCTGTAGCCTCTGGTCTAATGGAATGAATATGAATGGAAGGCATCCATCTGATAAATGGATATATACAAACCCTATTGATAACAGAGCTTCCATAAAAGCAAGTTCAGGTGAAATATGATTAACTACAGGATATTATTCTTTCACTGTCTCTATGAGTTTTCTAAATGCCTAATCATTTTGGAATTTGTGAATTTTACTGAGGTCATAGTGGCTTTGACATTGAGGAAGAACCAGATAATTGCTAATGGATGGCCAAAAACTTAGCATTACATTAGAAGGCTTTGCAGCCTTGCCCAGACCTCTTCCCTTCCTTCTAGGTTTGAGATATCTTAATACATGATAGTAACAAGGTAAGGACAGAATTCAACAGTGCTAACTTTCTGGGCCTGAATTGTACATATATGTTTTTCTTTACACATATGATATATGTAAAAGATATATGTGATATATATGATTATATATATAATCCATTTCTACCTCTATATTTATTTCAAGTATAATATTTATTACAAGTATTAATATGGAGAAAGAAATGGATTACAGAGAGAGCATATACAAAGAAACATGTCATGAAGCACTATCAGACAATAAAATATTTAGTGGTGTTAATGTCAGTATTGCACAGCACCATGGTCAATGCTAAAATTTGTGGTATAAATGAATCTAGTTTGCACACATCAGTGTATGATTCATGGAGGAAGTGGTATGTGGGACACAGCTTTGGGAAATACAGTTGGATAAGAATCAGAGAGCAATGAGAAAAAAAGGGGCAGTGAGGCTGGGGATCTATGTTCATAGAAAAGACACTTTTAGCTAAGCAGAGACCACTCAACTGATGGAGAGTGCCAGCCCAAAGAATAAATGAAAATTTCCTTGTATGTGGCAATGTATCCAACTTGTAACTCCATACATTTTCTTTAAAGATTAAATCAAGCATGGCTTATAGTTACAGCAAAGGGGAGGTAGAGGACCATCCTAAACTTGCTCAGCAGAGAACACCTGACCCCCAGCACTGCATCCATGAGCCAGGTACTCACAAGTGCGATAAGGCTGAAAGGTCATTGAAGGCACCTTCTGGCACAACAGAAACGTCATTTCCATGTAGAGACCTAAAAGTGAGAAAGAAACTTCAGAAGAATATTCCTATGTGTATAAGGACTTCATTTTTATGAAACACTTAAGTCAGTGGAAGAAGGTGATCTATTTCATAAGCTATATTTGAACAACAGATACCTATTAAGTAGAAACAGAAGTCAGCCCATACCTCACATCCTCTGCACAGAACAAATTCCAGATTAAAGAGTTAAATGTAAACTTAAAATTAGCAATTCCTTAAAAGAAAATATACTGTTTGTATAATCATAGGATGGGGAAAACTTTCAAAGGTACAATGTAAATCTTGGAAGCCATAAAGAAGAGTACTATTTTATAAAATAAAATCTGTTAAGGGGCTGTGTGCAAAACTGGACGGTAAATATCATAACCTTGAAAGAGAAAACATCTAATTCCTTAGTTACGAGATGTAAAACCAATAGCAACAGTATAGACATCTGTGTTCATAATGAAGAGAATCTAATAGGTCATGGTTAATGAAGCTATCATGCTTCCTTAGAGCATGCACCACAATAAATATACAATTCAGTAAACATGCAATTCAATAGACATACAAATACTCAGATGCTACAGTCATTATAAATGCTAACAGAAACAACAAAGAAAAATAATTTTCAATCTGCCATAGAAAAGTAAAAAGATTCATAGTACTCCAATATTAGAAGTTTACAAATGTGCTTTGAAAAGAGTACTCTATTAAACTGTTGGTAGGAAATACAATTTGTTAATTAATTGACAAAATATTGTTTGGGGGACAAGTTTACAGTTAGTTCTGGAACCATCCTAATACATGGACAAAACTGCCCTTCTAAACCATTGCTTTCATGTTAAAGCATTAGTACCAAAATAAAAATATAGATGTTTCATTTGAGTGCTATGAGAAAATAAGGATAATTTGCCATTAATCTGAAGGATAATGAAAGGATACAGATGGTTAATAAAGTTATTTTCTCCAGTCTAAGGAATATTCTGTACCTGGAAAACAGTTGAGAGACAGCCACACAAGGGAGAAGAGAAGCATACTAAAGTGTTAAATAAAGTAGCTATTGGGAGAACACAAAGGATCCTACTCATGGTTGTTAAGAGTTACATAGTTATGGGGATACTTACATGAGGATACAAGAATATACACAAAGAACAAAGTCTGGAAGAATACATCAAACAGATACATCTCATGGAAAAAGCTATCAAGTGTAAAGTGGTTTCAAAAGAAATTAAGTTTTCTTATTTTTATCATAGTTAATTGGAGCTATGTGAAATGTATGCCTTAGTATTATAGATCATCAATAAATGACTATCATAGCAGCAAGCACTACACAAGTGGAGATTATGCTGTCTTAATCAAAGTGCTTATACAACGACACCATATGAGACAACTGTCCTGATTCCAAATTTGCAGTAAACTGTAATACATACATGATGAAATAACCAAGAACAACAAAGTGATGACGTCACTCAAGAGATAGCTCATAGCTCAGATTCCCCAGAGAGGTAATTGTTGAACACAGGATGCTTACAGTAACCGAAGAGACTTCAATCCATCAAAGGTCCGTGGCGGGATACATCTCAGACGGTTGTAACTGAGAATTCTGAAATGGGACACATGCCACTTTATTTCATTTGGAAATCTAATAATATACAAATGCTATTTTAAAGCAAAGCGGTTCAGAAACTGGCTATCTGAGCAATTTATAAATTGAATATATTTATACATCATTTATATTGCTCATCTAGGTGCTCTAATATGATACATTTCCTAAATACAACTTAAAAACTTTGCCCACTGTGTACACATGCTCCACTTATTCTCTGGCTGAGATATTAGGCCATAGGTGGTGATTTGAATGATACTGGCACCTACAGGCCTACTGAATTGAGTACTTTGTCATCTGGGAATGGCACTATTTGAAAAGATTGGGAGGTGGCCTTGTTGGAAGAAATATGTCACTGGCTTTGAGGTTTCAAAAAGCCCATTCCAAGCCTAAATCCTCTCTCTTCCTGCTGCCTGCAGATCCAGATGTGGAACTCTCAGCTGCTTCCCCAGCACCATGGCTGCCTGCTTGCCACCATGCTCCCTGTATTGATGGCAATGGGCTAAACCTCTGAAACTCTAAGCAAGCCCCAATTAAATACTTATCTTTATAAGAGTTGCCATGGTCATAGTCTCTCTTCACAGCAATAGGACAATGACCAAGATGCCCTGAAAGCTTAATTTAAGGATTTCTAATCACTATGTCATGAACTTAAAAAAACATGTTTCTGTGTTTTATACTAAACCAACATTTTGAGCAACTTTTTTCTTTGTTGTTTATAGAAGCTCTATCTGTTTCTCTAGATGGTTTTTACACTCCATAAGATCAGACTTTCTTTTGTTCATCAGGAACCATATAGGAAACCCTCTGTGCCCCATGAGTAAGTGAATATTCAGTACCACACTTTTACACTCACAAGGTGAGAAGCTGGGTCATGTTGCTGAAGCTTTGATTGGAAAGGGTGCTTATTCGGTTGTTACTTAAGTCTCTAAAAGAGAAAAGAGAAGATATGGAGCTTGCCATTAACTAGAATAACAAAGCATTCATTTTTAAGGTTAGTAATTAACTACCAGTCTTTACAGTCCCGTTAGCTCCTCATTCTGTACCTTCATTGACATATATACATAATCGAATTTGCTAACTGCAACAGTCCCCAAGTTAATTACATTCAAACTGTCATCATAAAAACACCAGTGCTTTGGCCCTTGGCTGAGTCACTGACACTCAGAAAGTCCTCAATAAATATTTATTTAGAGAATATGTAAAGATGTTGAATGTTACTAATTGGATTTTTCAGAACGCACTGTGTATTTTGAACTATAAGATATATGACATAGATACTATCATGTTCTCATTATAAGTTTGATCATATTATACATTCCTATACATATTTGTTAACATGTATTTCTATACACATACACACACATATAAATAATAATTATAAGTAACCATTATTTCTCCTGGAGCAAAATCTAACACACAAATAAATGGAAGATTAGAAAGAGATAAAAGTAATCTATCCTTGTATTTAAACTCCAAAATACAAGTTAAAAAGACATACATAATTATGAAAATGATAGGTACTTTACAGGAGCTTTATAATCCATATTTTGGATGTTGAAATTCTATACCAAATTAAAAAATAGTTACATGTATTTATAAAAAATTATTTACATAATGGGTCAGTAGTAATAAACATTTCTGGATTCATAGATCTCTTTTTTAATTTGTTCTAAGTAATCATGTATTCTTTCATAAATGACTCAAAGCTGCTAAAATTATGTTCTGAAGGTCACAGCTAGTTTACAGTTCATTTACATAGATCAGTTCTTACTATTAATAGGATAATTCAAAGTAGAGCAAGGTATGGTCAAAGTATAATTTTTTCTTATTTAGTCCATTTGACATTTACATGGCCCTATAATATTTCTCTTTGAATTTCCCATATATTATGGAAAATGGAGACCAACAACATCTCCACGTGCCTGAATGCATCGGGGTAAGTTTATATTGGATCATGTAATAAATCCTTTTCTTGAGCTTTCTAGAACTCACTAATTAGGAATAAAACTTGTTCTAGGAAACTAACAATCTGCTCCCAAAACTAGAAGATAAATAAAATAAAACTAATGATAATGTATATCCATCAAATCTCTTATATTTTGCTAATTTCCCTGTGGGCTATGAGCTTTATTAGGCATCAGCAAGGCTACGTGAAAGTGTGAAGTTATATGTAACAGGATTATGTCTGTTTTGAAACGTGATGTGTTTAAGTAGATCAATTTGTTTGTGGATTTAAATGCCTCCTTGCTTTTATATTTTACATTCAGTTGTCACCATAAAATCGTTTCATTCACAGAAAAAGAAACAAGTTATTTTACAAAGATAGAAATCTAGACTGAGTACAGAATTAGTATTTTGAAATTCATACTCAGAATTTCAGGATCATTGGTAATGTCACTTCATTAGATAAAATATAAATCCACATGCTTGTTATAAAATGAACTTTAATATTTATAGTCCCTAAATTACTTTAACATGTCTCATATAGGGAAGTTAAGGAAAATATATATTTTCAGCAAAGTTTGGACCATATTTTGATTACCATATAAAATAAAATATTCCCCACTCTCTTTATGACTTCTAACAAGTAGCCTCTATTCTTATCAATCAAGCATCCAGTTTTACTATTTGAAGACTTTTTCTTTACTGCTTAGACATTATTGTATCTTTACTGCTTTGAATAGAGATGCTTTTCGTAAGATGCTGCTTCACCTGATTGATATTCCACAGAGATGTAGCTAGTGATCCTGAACCACAGTGGTCTAGTAGAGGGGCTGGTCACTGCCAGTGATTTATATTATGTGAAAGGCTCTCTAAATCTTCTGCCACTTGCCATTCCCTTTCTGATGAAATAAAATAAGTTAACGGTAGAAAAACATTCTACTCACATAAGTGTTAAATGTTTGTAGTTGGAGAGTTCCTTGGGGACCAGTGTAAACTGGTTCCCATCCAGATACCTAAAAACAGGACATAACAAGGTCATCTTACAAAGTTAACAGTGGCAAATCACAAAGCAAATGAACAGTATTTACTTTGAACAGCAATGAGACACAACTTGGCAGTTTTCTTCTTGAGAGATCATATTCTCAGACAAGGAAAGGGCAAATCACACAGTGGTTCAATCTAGTAGAACTCTTTGTGGCTCACTTAGGCTAATGCATAAAACTGAGGGAGGAATGGTGAGACCAGTTCTTTGTGGTTTAGCCAGGAAAGCAAGCCAAGCATCTAGCCATTTTTCTCTCCGTATGAAGGTCCATCCAGTGACTTATATTTTATGTGGCCTCAGGTTTAATTGTATTTATATTTATGTAGAGACAGCACCATGAAACTGAAGAATTATTAGCTAATCATATATATATATATATATATATATATATATATATATATATGTATATATTTGCTAAATAACAATGGACAGTTTTAAGGAGATGAGAATCACAAGACATGGTTTTAAAGGAGACTTGGTGGCACATATCTGCTTGGTGATAGTGGTCTCAAGAGATTTTATGGAATACTGTTAATCTTTTCAAGTACAAAAAAGGTAGCATGTGAATGAAAAAGGATTTTTCAAATAAAAGTACACCTTTGTCTTTCTCATTATGGTCAGAACATAGGCAATTCACAAAGAAATCAGCTAACTGATAGGACACAAAAATAAATGGATGCTGGAAGGTATATCCATGATGTCAGAAAAAGAAAACAGAAAACAAAAATCTCTTTCCAAAGCTTTTTTTTTTTTTTTTTTTTTTTGGCCTAGACAATAGACTCAGTTACAAGAGTCTCCAACACCTTGGGTCATCTGGCCAGAGGTGGAGCTGATAACAACTCTGGAACCTTGGAGATATGACTTTTCTTGTTCTGGTGCAGTGGCCAATCTTTAAATCTCAGGTTGAAGTTAGAATTGTAATGTTTGTAGGAAAAGTCAAAGTCGAGTTGCCTGAGCTAATAATCTATAATGTTTCAGAATGTAAGCAGATCTATAAAATGCACAGGCTATAAATATATGTGATCAATATGAATCACAATTAAATTTACAAGTCACATTCTGATTGAGGATTCAAAATTCTGGTATGCATTTATACATTTCTTGGATGCCTTTCCCTGTTTTTTCTAGCTAGGTTTTGTTTGTTTTGTTTTGTTTTACTACCACTAGAGGGAAGCAGTGTTCCAGGAACTTCAACACTCTCCTTTTTATCCCAGAAATGTCAGAGCAGGACAGAAAGACCCAGGAGAACATTCTGTGTGTCTACATGCACAACAGTACAAGGGGGTGGTACATGGCAATGATTAAAACTAATGGATACCATTTGTTCAAACTTGTCCACCAATACATCGTAATTTTGCCACATTCTTAATAATTCAGTATAATACACACATGCACATTTTCTAATATATGGATATACATATGTATGGCGAGAAGGATCTTGCTGACTTGGCAAGATTCTAAGAATAATCTTTCTAGGAGGTAAAACTTGAATTTCAAGATGAGTTAGTATTCTCCTGATCTATACTAACTTTTATTAATAGAAAAGAAATTTCAATTATTTTAAAATGTCGTGAACTGAGGACTAAACTTAAGCAAAGGAATGCATATGTGGCAGATAGGGTGATTAAAGGAATGGAGCTTAATACACTCATTAAAGAATACTTAATATTTTAAATGAGATGAAGACGAAAGGAAGTTACATGTCAAAATAAAAGAAAAGTATTTAGAATCAAAGAGGATGTGAATGCCATGTTTCTCACTGGGTTATTTATAAAATTTCACTTTGCATATAGAATACAGGCATATAACAATAGGGAGTGGAGAAGATTTATAGGCTCATATCATTTTCTGAAAGGTATTAAAACAACAGTATTTTAATTAGGCACACAAAAACACAGAGCCTACAGTCAATTAACTCTAGTATTTGTTTGCAAGAGAAAGAAACTCAACATTTAACAGCATTTCAAATCCAGAAAACACATTTTCCCCTATGCTAAGACTGTGTCTTCTTCTCTGGGTGTGCTATTTAGGAGAAAAATAGGATCCATGAACTGAACATAACTTGAAAAATGAGATCCTTGAAAACTGAAGAGACATGTCTTTCACTTGATCTTAGCCCATAGCCTACAAAGCAATAAGTCACATGTTCTTGAACTTTACTCCCTATGTGGCACGCTGCCCAAATGTTGGTGAGAGCTGATCTTGTGGAGTCCTTGCACATATCTGCAGAAGCCACATGTGGATTTATCTATAATTCCATATAAGCAAAAATAAAATAAATACTAAACTCACTTTGATTAAGACAAAACATTTTTTTTTTTAAAGGTTTATTTATTTATTATGTATACAGCATGTATGACTGCAGGCCAGAAGAGGGCACCAGATCTCATTACAGATGGTTGTGAGCCACCATGTGGTTGCTGGGAATTGAACTCAGGACCTCTGGAAGAGCAGTCAATGCTCTTAACCTCTGAGCCACCTCTCCAGCCCCAAGACAAAACATTTTGCCATCAAATTCCAGTTTAGATATAATAAATGGAATGAAGGGAATATAACTGAATCCTTATTCTTGCATCTGATTTTCTGTTGTATTGCATTCTGAATCCATGGCATGGAAACAGCAATAGGATGCTGAGCTGAGGGACTGACTTGTGAAAGTCTTTTTATATGGATATTGGCCATGCAATTTATATTTAAATATCAGTTATGCAAGCATCAAAAATAATTGGCCACATGTCCTTTTGAGTCTAAAGGACACTGCTGAGTCCAAAGAGACAATGTTCCCTTTAAAAGACAAAGATTATGGCAGTTTCTTCTAATTCCCAGATAATTAATATCTTATATAGTTAAGTATTGTCCTAGGAGTCAAGTATAGAGTATAGTTGACATTGCAAATAAATTAACTATGCAACACTTCCCAAACGGTATTTGATGGAACACCAGTCTTGTAAAATGATCCATGAAAAAATAAGGGGCTAGAGAAGCTGTACGTGTAGGATTTATGTATGTTTAACTATCCTTATTGGAGCTTAACTGGTACAAAAAAGCACAACAAAGGGACTGAGCAATCTCACTGAGGTAAAAGGACAGTGCATCCAGCTAGTAATTCCCAAGTTCTCTGAAGTGGCCTTTGCATTATTGCTTTGTAATTTTACTTCATATTCATTAATCAGGCATAGAATGTGATCTGTAAACAGGATCCTAATTGTTTTGTTGTATCTTTATCCCCTTGACGTATAAAATATTAGTTGTGTGGAAAGGGGAAAAATAGCGAGACAGTTAGTTTTAAAGGCTGCTTGACACAATTCAGAATCAAATTTTAACATGAGATTTTCTAGACCAGGTTTGCTGTAATTATATTAATTGTTGTGGAAAAGCCAAGCACACTGTTGGTGGTATCATCCCCTAGATTTTGTTCCCAGACATTATGAAGTACAGAGAGGGGTCTGGGCACAAATGAACATGCATACATTCCCTCTCTCTATTCTTTTTTTTTTCTTACAAACTGTATGGCCGTGGCAGGCTTTTTGTTATCTACTTCTTCTATCTTAAATTAACCCATTTCTATTAATATGTACTTTGCCACGTGGCTTGTGGCTTACCGATACCTTACATCTTCCTTGTCCTGGCGGCTCACAGTGTCTCCTCGCCTTCCTGTTCTCTCAATTCTCCTCTCTATTAGTCCTGCCTATACTTCCTGCCTGGCTACTGGCCAATCATTGTTTTATTTTTCAATCAATCATCCACAGCACTTCCCCTTTTTCTTTTTTTTTCTCAAAAAGAAAGGTTTTAACTTTAACATAGTAAAATTACATGTAACAAAACAATTACCAAACAAGAATTACAGTTACAATGTTAAAGAAGATATCCTATTCATCTTATATTGGTGGGTCTAAGGTTTCATATCTAACTTATCTTTTAGTTATCATTCTCTCTATTCTTAACTGTTGACATGACTAGCTGCTTCTAGTTCCTGTCTTAATTTTCCTGTAATGATGGACCTGGAACGGTAAGGAAAATAATTCTTTTCTCTTGTGACATCAGTTTTGTCATAGCATTTGACCCTGGGAACAGAAAGAGAAGGACAACAAACTGAACTTACAGCTCTGTGACATCTCTTGGAATACCTTTCGGCAAGAACTTCAGGCCCTTGTTGCTACATCGGACGACTGTATCCAGGCAAGTACACTCCGAAGGACAACGAGAGAGTGGGGAGCAACTGTTGTCATCATTCCCTGCATCAGCACATGAAGTCCAGAAAAACACAAATGGACAGTTCTGAAGGGGCTAGAGTGGAGTTCACGCATTTAGATAAATCTAACCAAACACGAGGGTCCTGAGCTATAGAACCACTTAGGAATGAGTCACTAAATGCTTACCGATTGACACTATATATGCATTACTTTCTGGTTCCCTAAGGTAGAATTTCAGAAAATAGCTCACAATTTTGTACAACTACCATAATTTTAACAGTTACTTACTTGTTCAGCTATTGATGCAGTTTTAAATAAGGATATCACAATACAAACTGGATTAAGGAGAAATTGTAAAGAGATGGACCTAAGGGGGCAAATTTCCTTAAAATGTTTAGGAGAATTTCATGGACACCTCCTGCTAAAAGTGTAGAATTCTAATGAGCTCCTTGCTCACTGGCAATAATAATAAAATTTGCTCTACCCATATCATAGAAATAGAATGAGAATGGAAAGCAATGGCTGAGAGCATTAGAAAAGGGAGACTGTGACTTTTGTTGATTTTAGAAGGACTTCTATGTTACAATGTCTTTGTTTTGTTTTATTGTTTTTCTCATTTGGACATGGTAGCTTCTAAAAGACACACTGAGGAAAAATAACGTTAAAATTAAGCTCTGCGAGTATCATTCACAAGTTGGGAGCTTGGAAGTCTTCTAGAACCTCTCTAAACAGGCAGGAAATAGACTTGAATGTGAAAGGGCAACCTGAGCACAAGGGCTTTGCTGCTAAGAACAAAGAAGCAAGCAAAGCAGAACACAGCACAGTCCTTAAGTGGGAACTGGAATGTGACATAAGAGCTGTTTTTGAAAACATTCTTTCCAGACCATAAGTCCTGCTTATTTGCTCCCTTGTTCTACTGTATTAAAGGAAGCACACTCCCCCAGACAACAGAACATCCCATAGGTCCTCTGAACGAAGGTCTAATGACCCATGGTTTGTCATGCATTTCTTACCATCATCACAGGTGAAGTCCTGAATGGCTACATCCTGGATGGGGATTTCCTTGAGGAAGTAGGGCTTTTGGCATCGAGGATTTCCTGTTACAATTCTTTTCTTTCTGAGCCATTCTCCCAGCCATGCCAGGTGACAGTTACAGTTGAAAGGATTGGCCAAGAGGTTTCTAAGCATCACATGCAAACAATGCACAGTTCAGTTTAGAGTTCATTTTCTTACAGTTAAAAAGATTGGCCAAGAGGTTTCTAAGCATCACATGCAAACAATGCACAGTTCATTTTAGAGTTCATTTTCTTACAGTTGAAAGGATTAGCCAAGAGGTTTCTAAGCATCATATGCAAACAATGCACAGTTCAGATTAGAGTTCATTTTCTTATTTTTCTAAATCCTAGGTGACCATTTCTCCACACTATTTTGGTTACAGTGATATATTCACATTGCCTTTGTATGCCCATTCCCCTGCATGCGCACAATTATATACAAAATATGTTATGCATAATTTTTCCTAAATATATACTCAGGAACCAAAAGATGATACATTCTTGTGAGAGAATTTTTGGAATAATTTCATGCAAAAAATAGTGAAGGCAGAAATTTAGGGTTTATGCAATGAATCCCGATAGATACCTTACTTAGAAATAATTTAAAATGTCAGCGATCTAACTTACTGTCAAGCTCTCCTGCGCTGATAAAGCAGTAATTTAATATAAAGATGAAGGCTGATTACCTTATATTATTGAGTTTAACCTGACAACAGCTATTCCCTTAATTTGTCATCTCAAGATTTCCATCTCTTGTTTGCTCTAGAGAATAGCTTTCCTATCTAACCTGACAGCTGAGTTGATTAAATGCCAGTTATAAAAATGAATTTACTTCTACAAATCTCAATACTTTTGGCATCTCATACTTAAGCACAAACCTATCGACAATCCCATTATTTATAAACATGCCATCTTTAATATGCGCAAATTAGTCACTCCATGTAACATGTCACACTTCATGTGGAAAAGGAATTAAGTACTTTACTGGATGGATTGATGCTTACTTCACTTTTTTCCCCTAGTGTCTTGAGCAGAGGCAAACATGCTTTTGGAACTGTTCTAACTATCTTCATTTCCAATTCTGTTGAGTTAGTTTAGGATATTTAGAAACTGCTCTGACCAGGATATCATCAATTATTAGAACTGTGATAGCAAACATCATGTTCGGAAACAGACGTACAAAAGAGTCCTTTGAAATACATTGTTCAAAGTTTATTTTTAAATGTTTTGAGAATTCCATTTGTAGACCTAGAAGTATTTTCAAGTTTCAAGTTGTTTACATAAAATATTATCTCAGACAGGCTCAACTCATTACTTCCATATTTTTGCAAAGTCATATCAAATGACCTCTGTTGAACAGCTTTTACTGTTGGCCTGTTCATCTTTATATATCTCTTGTCACCATGAATGATCCTTGTAAAGTGTGGTTGGTTGGTAATAACTCTGTCAATTCTGTTTTTATGATGCTTATGATAAAAAAATATTCATGGTTTATAATAGGAGAGGAAATCTGTGACATTTACTTACAGTGTTATCAAGTTAGGATAATTTATAATCCTAAATTTAAGCCTATAATTCTAAATTACTGATCCCATTGTTATAAAAATGAATAGCTGCAGAATAATACATATATCGAATTTTACCTAATAAAGGAGGAAATAATGTTAGAAAAACTAAAGTAAGTTTAATGTAAGTTTGCCCTTTTTAAAATACCCAAACACTCGGTCATGCTTTCATAGAATATTCAGTAATTAATTAAAAGAACAGTATAGAAGATAAGAAATGTAATACACCACCACAAGTCATAAATAAAGGTAGGGGTTATCAATCTGTGAGTTACAATCCATTTGGTGGTCGAATAACCCTTTTACAGGAGTTGCCTAACCCCATAAGAAAACATAGATATTCATATTATGATTTATAACAGCAGCAAAATTACAGTTATGAAGTAGCAATAGAAATAATTTTATGGTTGGGGGTCACCACAACATGAGGAACTATAATAAAGACTCATAGCATCAGGAACGTTAAAAACCACTGGAAAAAAGGTAATGCTTTTCTACTTACAGTGTAGATAAGGAATGGAGAGTATCAAATGCCCCTGGTGCAATTGTAGTAATTTGATTGTCATATAAGGAAAGCAGGCGCACAGAGCCAAGTCCTATGAAACTGTCGTTTCCAACACAGCTTATTCGATTACTTCTCAGCATCCTGGGGGAAGGAAAAGAACATTGTTATGGAGATAAAATATCAGCCATTCAATTTTGCCTCTTTGAGAATCAAAATCATTCCCTTTAGTAAATATGTAGTATCCATCACTCTTTTGAATGTCTATTTCTCTAGGAATGGGTATATATTCTGGATATCATCCTGCAAGAATAGGATGCATAGAATAATCAGTGCCTAAATTAAGCCACAGAAGGCATGATGAGCCTGTGTGGATTTACACTCCCATGATGAGGGTAACATGTTTTCTTTTGATGATATAATTATGTTTGCCTGATCACATAATGTCCTAAGTCACCTACTTGAGTCCTTGGAGCCCAGTGATTTATGTATTCAGAGTAGTGTGACATTTGAGAGAGAAGAAAAGGAGGGAGGAGAGAATCAATAGACACTGCAGATGGAGAGCTGAGGGCATCTTGGGGACTTAGTGACTCACTGTCTGACAGGAGCGGAGGGAATCAAGCGTGACTGAGCATTCACAAAGCCTGCATCAGATTGTTTTATTTATGAAAAAATCTGTTCATAGTTCCATGTTCAGAACTCCCAGAAGGAATAAGTGTAATATACAACAAAGGTTAAATAGGTTTGCCTTGAATAAACTCGATTTTTTGACACTGTCATTAACAGGATTAACACTGTTGTTATTTCCTCACCACTGCTAATGCACTGGCTTAGCTCCCAATTCCTTCCTTCCTGAGCTGTTTATTGGGAGATTTTCAAAAGGGAAGAAAATCTCATCTACAAACTTGTAGTTGCATTACGTATTATTCAGAACTCATGAAAAATTAATTTAGTGATCTTTCTACACCCAGAGTAATCACTCTCCCAATAGAAGGGCAAATACAAAACGAGAAAGATAATGTGCTGGCTAGGTTTATGTCAACTTGACACAAGATAGAGTCATCTTTAAAGGCAGAGCACCTCAATTGAGAAAATGTCCCTACGATGTTGGTGTATGAAAAAGCCTGTTGTGCATTTCCTTGATTGTGATTGATGTGGGAGTGCCCACTGCTGTGGGCAGTGCTCCTCTGGCTTCGAGATCCTAGGTGCTGGAAGAAAGGGGACTGAACACGTCATGAAGAGCAAGCCAAGGAATGAGAACTCATCCGTGGCTTCTGCATCAGTTCCTGCCTCCAGACACCTGCCCTGAGTTTCTGCCCACATTTCCCTTTGATGACATGGAAGTATAAGATGAAATAAAACTTTTCTTCCCTGAGTTGCTTCGGTCATAGCATTTTATCAGAGCACTGCAAACCCTAACTAAGACAGATATTGAAAAAATTGTTGCTTTAAAATTCTATGCTGGCTAACAAAAAAGAAATAAAACTATTTTCTTCCCACTAAAATGTAGATAAGAAGAAAGATGACGTCTTCTTATCCAGGCATCACTGAATAGTCAGAAACAAATGCACCACAGCACAGTGTTCTTATCAGCACTTTCCTTTGTCATGAATAATGGAGATCTGTGGTCTTAATCTTACTGGAGTTAGGGGACCCTGGAAGGGACTGAAGTAAGTTAGTCTCTTCATAAAAGTGAAAAACAAAAACAAAGGACAACAACCAAACATCAGCACATGCATACAGTAAGCTCTGTCTGATGTCTCAGGGCATTTTATGAATTTTGGGAATACACACATGTATTCCTAACTATCTGACTAGTGCTGAGGAGGGAGGTCTGACTGACATGCTGGCCATGCTTGATTGCTGGATAGCAGAGCTAGCTGTGCATATATCTATTCTCATATGAAAGGTATAATAGCATATATCTATTCTCATGTGCTGGTTATATAGAGCATATATCTATCTATTCTCATGTGCCATGGATATATATATTATATATCTATTATCATGTGCAGGGGATATATAGCATGTTTCTATTCTCATGTGCAGGGGACACACACACACACACACACACACACACACACACACACACACATATTTGGTCAGACCTAAATTTGGGGTTATATTAACTCATCCCAGTGACTAGAGAAATAACTTTCTCCCTCACGCTCTCATAAAAAACAGGGGACTTTCCATTTGCCCATTTTACATTATACATAGATTTCAGGGTCAGGTGAGATGCCATTGCTTGAGCCTCTGTGACTGTACTGCCAGGGGCTGATCCTTGGTTGCAAAGAGATCCTTTTATGTGCTCCCACAACGGCTGTAGAATTTTTTTCTCTTCTGGTTTATGAGCCACTACTTTTGGCAAGCATTATTGCAAAGATGCACCGAGATAATTCAAATAAGACAAAATGTTGCATTTCCTGCTTGTTCTAAGTCTCATCGTCTCTACCTAAGCAACCTTTGGGAGACACAAAGAATTTCTTCCTCCCAAACTCCCTATCATTAAGCAAGTAGACAAACCCTTTAGCATGTTTCCTTAGCAATTGTGGAAGGATTTATCACAAGCATTGTTTCTTTTCTACTGAAGCATCACAGAGACAGATAAATGTAGCCTCTGGATGAACACAGTTATTCCATTTAAATGCATGTGTCTGGAAATCTGAGTCACAGTTAGGAGGAAAGTGAAACTCACCTGTTTCTGCAGGTGATAATGAGTAGTGAAGTCTAACCCACTTTTATGTGTATCAGGAATACTTACAATGTTTTGAGGCTTTCCAATCCTTTGAACATCTTATACTGAACATTTTCCAAACGATTACTGGTGAGAAGAAGTTCATTCACACCAGATGCGCCTTCAAATGCTCCTTCCTCGATATCGGTGATCTTATTGTTGCTAAAGTTGCTAGATAAACAGTGTTAAGATGCAGATTTAATTGACTGCTCACTACTACAAGACGCTCCAAAAATATATCTGGTCATTTTTAATCTACTGAATAAACACACAAGTCTTCCACAATTTCCAAGATTTTCACTGCAAGGATTGCAGAAACTTGTAGAAAGTGTTTCTCTAATCCATGAAGTTAAGAGGACAGTAATACTAAGAGAGAATAACCATTAAAGATATATACTAGACCAATTCTGCTCAAAATGAACTGCGATGATCCTGAGGAGTCTAAAGTCATTAAGGCCCATTATTTGGCTTGTCGCTCTCTCCCCAGCACTGGGATAACAGGCCACTATATTTGGATTTCCTTACCTGAGGACCAAATTCATTATTCATGCTTATAAGACAGACACTATACCAATGAAGCAATTGGATTATTTTGTTTCCTGATTTACTTGTCATTCTCATAAACACTGCTTATAGTAAACTGCTCAGGAAACTTCTGCGGCATTGAACCTCTTATTACCAAAAAGACAGTATAGTTAGTGGCATAAAGGAAAGTAATTAAGGAATTAGAAGATTCTCAAGGTATAACCTAATGCAGAGGAGAAGGACACACGCATAGTTTTGGTCTCCTCTGCTAAAAACAATGTCAGTGGCTGGAGCAGCTATATATGTGAGACTGGGGGTGACCAGCGGCATGGACTAACGTCCCTGCTTCCTCCTCCTGTGGACAGGGCGTTCCTACATCCTTGCACACTTGACTTTTGTCCTGCTTCCCCCTTTACTCAAGGACATGGGATACTGGTGGGATGTTGATGAAAATGCTGAGCTTACGAATTTCCTCTGAAATACGAGCTGTGGCCATGAAGTAACACAGATGAGCAGTCTAGCCAGTTTACTAATCATTAATTTTGACTATCTCATAATGAAAGCTTAATGAAGCAAAAGTCAAACAGTTGACATGAATGTGCTGAAAGAGAAATAGCACCACGGTTTGGGGAATAGTAAAGGAAGTTGCAAAACATCACTGAATCCATTTTAATGTGCTTAGATTGCTAGATTCCTGCTGCGGGCGCATTATAGACCAGCTGTCTGCTTTAGAGGAAGATGCTAAGGGTTGGCTTGGCATTGTGTGAACACGTGGAAAAGTACCTCTTAAATAATACCCTAAATTCACACCCTATGTAGTCATCACATGGACATTTTTCTGGAATATATATATATATATATGAAACTTAGATAAAATGGAAAGATATATAAAATTCACAAGGAAAACACACCGTATACAGTCAATATATAGCTAACTTATGACTTACATTTTACGTAACTGAGGAAGTTTCTTAAATATTCCTGTGGCTTCTAACACTGTGAATTCATTATTATTGAGACGCCTGGGGAAAGAAAAAAAGAAAGAAGATCAAAGTTTTCTCATAGGTACCAAGTGTTTAGCTTGTGTTTGTTACACTAAGGTATAACATTATTTAATGTTAACTTTGAAATGCAGCACATATATAAGAGAGGATTTATAAAATTTACTTATGTTTTTATCATTTCATCAAAATCTTAAAAAATCAAAAATTCTTAATTATACTGAAATATAAAAAAAAGTCAAAGAATAATCAAAACCATCTCATATACAGTAGTCTCTAAGTGAAAGTTTGCAAGCGTTTCTTTTTTCACTATTGTCTACCTCGCATGCATTTCCCCGCTAAGTACCGGCTCAGACCTTTATCATTCACAGATCAACTTATACACAATTCAAATACTATAAAGTACTCCAAGTATAGAATTTCAGTATATTTGTAAAATTGCAAGCCAGGTGAAATGATTCATACAGGTAGTCTCAGTACTCAGGAGGCAAAAGTGGAGGACTGGAGCAAGTCCAAGGCTAGTGTGGTTTACCTGGTGAACTCTAGGCAATCAGGGCAATATAAGAAACTCCATCTCAAACAAAAACAGAAACAACTGTCTCAACTAAACCAAACAAGACCCGGCACAACAATCTTTATTAATGCAATATTCTTTCATCACCCAAAAAGCACTCCAAAATAAATACCAATCATCAGCAATAGACTCTATTATCACAGCCAACTTCCTATCACCATCCCCCATTGGTGCCAAACTACACTTATTCTCTTATTCTGGACATTTCATTTAATTGGAATCCTACAGAATATGCCTTTTGCTTCATCTCATAGGACGTTCTGATGATTTATTTTATTTTCAATTATGTAATTACGTGTGGGTATGTGCATCTACTTACAGGTAGATACAGAAGTCTAGGTGCCCACAGGGGCCAGAACAGGGCACTGGATCCCCTGAAGCTGAGTGGCAGGTGATTATGAGCCAGCTTGCACAGCTGCTTTAAATTAAATTTGGGTTCTCTTGTAGAAGCCATATGATATGTGCTCTTAAAAGCTGAGCCACCTCTCCAACCACTTTAAGATGTTTAATTGTGATTAATTTTATGATGTTATCAGTATTTCATTGTTTTTGATAACTGAACAATAGAATGGTCATCCCACACTTATTTGGCCATTTATCAGTTAGTGGCACTTGTTCTACTCTATATTTTGTCTATTATTAAAATTCTAGGCTGACTGTGGCATGCAGGATTTTGTGTGAATGTACCTTTTAAATTTTTTTGGGGGGCCAGTCACCTTGAGATTTATTCCAAAAGGCTTTTTATACAATGTCAAGGACGAAGGTAAAAGACCTCCCCATTTCAAGATCAAAGCACAACGTACAGCAGCCAAGTGTAGACCCTTCAGAACACCTGGTAAACCACACCTGTGGCCAAATCATTTCATTATGCATCTCTGCTGGGTAAAGCAAGCTCAGATTCTCTGACAATGAGTAATGTCTTACTAGGCAATGGTCAAGTGATAGCCCGAACTGACCTACTCTGGTAAATTTTTGAGAATATACATAGAAGTAGATTTTGTTAGACCACACGATAGACCTATGCATACTACATTGAAGAACAAACCATTTTCCCAAGGTTATACTTCTACTATTTTACAATTAAATTACCTATGTATATTTTTTTCTCCCACATTTCATTGTCTCCACCCATCTCTGATTTTCTAAGTGATGGTAATGAGAAAATTTTCCCATAGGATCATATATTCAAACAATTGTCTCAAGTCCTGTTTGAGGAGGTCCAGTCATGCTGGAGGAAGTATATGTATAACTAGGGATATTTTAAAAATATTTATAACTTCACCTCATTTTCTGAGTGTCTATGATATGTGACCCATCAACCACTTTCCTGCTTCAGTTACCTGGTGCCATGATTTCCATTTCATGATGAACTCTCATTCAGGAGCCCTTAGGCAAAATAAACTCTTCTATAAGTTGCTTTGGATCATGGTGTTTACACATTTGTGCAAGTACTGCACAAAGAAATACACAATGTGAAGCGTGGAGATGAAAACATCACAGCAACAGAAAAGTAACTAATACAGAAGTTTGTTCTTAGAAGTTAGATTGTTGCTATGAAGAACATGGTAGTGTTGATGTTTTGGAGAGATTTGGATGAATCTGGAGAAGTCTGAACTGGAAAAGTAGTTGACTGTTATAGGCAGAACTTAATTAACCACTCTAGGAAGAATCTGGAGGAGTATAATCCTGGAGAGTAATGCAGATATTGTAGACCCAGATCATTAGTTAAGATGGAAACAAAAAGTCTATCAGTAACTGGGCTAGAGAACATTCATTTGTATGATATTTTGGCCAAGCCTCTGGCTTCATTCTGTACATGTCCTACGAACTTAGGTAAATTAAAAAGCGATGGATTAATTTCTTTGATAGCATGATTTCAAGGCAAACCAACACTGAGTCTCTGGAATGGCTACTACTGGTTACTTTTATGAATATCTACCATCCTAAAGAACAAGGGGTGCACAAATAAATATAAAATGTGCAGCATGGAGAGGAAAACAACACCAGAAGTCTTAAGGGTGTCCCCAAAGCATGGGCTGCAAAGAAAACTGTAATTGTTAAGGAGCTTAATGGCATAAAAGAAAAGCCCCTTGCTCTCCACTGGAGTAGGAGAGTTGTTCTCAGGGAAAGACCCCACCCAGGTAAAGCTTCAATTTGTGAAGTGAAAGAGCTTAAGGAATTCCTTGCTCCTAGAAAGCAACAGCATATAAAAGCAGCTAATACCAAGGGTGTGAACATCTATGCCGAACTGTCAACTGAATTTGGCATTATCATCAACATGGTAGCAATTTGGAAGACACAAATGATAAAAGACTGAGGAAATTGTGAGTTCTTCCTGTGTGGAATCAAAGAAGTGACTAGGTCTGGGGTGTCAAACAGGTGACGAGGTCTGGCAATGATGACAGAGTCGGAGTCCCTGTAAGGAGGCCCCAAGTAGACACTGAAGAAAGCCGATGCTGCACTTAAGTTTTCCAATGACACATTTGCCAAGAAGAGCTGCACACAGGAAGTGGAACCAGCCCAAGAGCGAAGTGTGTGACATAGGCTGCAAACCTGCAAGGTGAGGTGCCATCTAAATCCTTTGACACTGAAGCCCCCAGATACTAAACATGGAACTTCAGGCTTTGATGTTTGCCTTGTTGGGTTTTAGTTTTGCTTTGGCCCAATCTTTCTCCTTCTTGAATGGTATACCCCCATTCTTCCTTTTTGAATGGTAATGTATATAATACGGGCCATTGTACGTGGGATGCATTTAAAAAAAGATTTAATGGAGACTAAAATTACTTTGAGTCTCAAAAGAGATTTAATACTTTTGAACAGTGTTGAGACTGTTAAAGACCAAGGGTTTTTTGAAGTTGGATTAAATGTATTTTGAATCACGAGATGGCAATGAGTTTGACTCATGAGATAGCAATGAGGCTATGGGGACCAGAGTGAGTAATATAGCAGTTTGAATGAGAAATATTCTCTATAGGTTCATTCATGTATTAGAACACTTGGTCCTCAGTTGATGACACTGCTTGGGAAGGTTATAGATTTTTTTTTTTTAGGAGTCGTGGCTAGAGGAAGTATGTCATGAGTTTTGAGAGTTTAAAGCTTTTCACTATGTCCTCAGTCTCTGCTTCCTGTGTGCTTATGAAAAATGCCTAGACAGTTCCACTCCTTTCTTGCTCTGTGGACTCTCCTGTAACCACACAAACAACTTTTTATACTAAATGTTGCTTTTCTTCTTGCTATGTTATCACAGCAGCAGAAAAATAATAGTTTTGCATTTTCTAAGAACCAACTTTTGCATATGGTTAATTTTTCACTGGAAAAATGTTATCATGGATAACTTGACCATCTCCTAAGGTAACATAACCTTTATAATGTTGAATTTTAAGAGATTTTAATATATTCTGCATATAAATTTACTGGCAGTATATGACTAGTAAACATTCTGAATCTAAATCCTTTACTGAGAGCATGCTTTGCAAACACTTTTCTCTTAAGTATTCATTTTATATGCATTATTTTAAAAATATCAAACTTTGAAAACATATATAATTTTTTCTGAATCTTACATTAGAAACTAGGCTGTAGTAGAATTATTGATTGGAGAATAAACTTGTTTAACTAATTATCATGCTCATTATAATATCACGTGTGTGCAGCATTATCAGAAATAAACTAAAGTCCACGAATAGCCACACAGAGTGGAATTCAGGGATCTTGCTACATGTTCTCTGAATTTCTGAAAATTGAGTTAGTGAATATACCATGAAACAGTGGGTGTAAAAAAGAAATCACCAGCACCACAAAGAAACTAGTTTCTATTAACCCTTTGAAAGACATTATTTCTAATTATCCAAACTGCTTTGAATTCATTACATAACAGGCATGGGTATAAATACAGTGGGACAGAGATGCTAACGCACAATCCCTGAAGTCAAGAGGCTGCAATCTAGTTGAAGACAGAAGGATTATGCATACACACAGAGACAATCAACTTTGGAAAGCAATAAATGACAAATACCAGATGGTGCCATAAATAAACACAGCTAAGATGTTCAGAAAATGATTAGATTTCACTACTGGCTTCATGGGTCTTGGAAAACTAACACTGTATACTTTCCTTTTATAACCAGGAAAGGTGAACTACCCATGAGCATAGTATCTGCCAATAGTTCCGAAATTACGTTTTTTTCATACTCTGGATCCTATGGTAAATTTGTAAATATAAATTTGATCATGTCTTAGTTTTCAGCTTTCCCTAGTCTGCTATTCACTGTTTATAAACAAATAAACAGCAAACAACTATTATTTACCCTTCAACTGGCAATCACTGAGTCCTTTCACTTGTAACAGAGAAGTTGTCAATGAATCCTACAATAGATTTTTGTGAATAAGTATCAAATTATTTTGTTTGGCTGTTTTAAGAATTAAATGCCTTGCAAATTTATGAAGCACTTATAAATGTTCTGCCATAGTGAATATCTAATAATAACCAGATATTCCTGTTATTGTAAACATTAGTAAATGATGACTGAATTTTGAGTGATAATTTGATTGTTCAGTTATAGCTCTGCCTGACGATTGAACTGAGATAGTTTTAAACATATTCTTGAACAAAGAAGAGGGCCTCTCAATTCAGCATGTATTAATTAAGTGAATTCAATTATTCAGAATTAAAATGTCATGACAAAAATCCCAGTGTTTTCATACAGTCTCTTTGTGTCCCTTGCTCCCTCCCAGGCAGGATCTTGTAGCCGGATAAACTTACAGCTCTGCTGTGTATTGGGGAATATGGTCTGGGATTTTGTTGAGTTTTTGATTGGAGCAATCTACAGTGGTCCCTTCACAGCGACACTTTTCAGGACAAGCCAAGTCTGCAAAGCAGTCTCCACTTAATTTTGATCGATAATCTTCTGTGCCTATTGAGGATTCAAGCCAAAAATAAGATTCTGAGTCTGAATGCTAGAATAGCCATTAATACATAGGAAGAAAAACAGTAGGATAACTATAGATTATGCAGCAGGGAGACAACTTAGGGCACTTTGGTCAATGGATGTCAGGAAAGGATTAAAAGAAAGGCTTGGAATTTTCTGGAAAAAAGAGTGACCAGATTCACACGACAGGAAAACATTAATAAAGTTGAGCTTTTCACAGCTGTACTTTCTGCTGATCCGGTTCTGAGCCATGCTAGTCTATTGCACAGCTAATCACACAATGGCTATGAATTGTTAAATTTTTATTTTTATTTTTCTGAGTCAAAAATTGAAAACATATCTTGTAATAAACATACTCCTGTATATTATTGTAAAGTAGGGCTTTTAAGGAAAACCATATACTTAGGTTTTAAATTTTTCTATGGACTTTGTTATTCTCTCCCTCTCACATAATCTTCAGAAACACCCCCAAAAGCCCTCTTTTTTTTTTTCATTTTGACTCTATAAAAAAGACAAGTAAGAACTGCCTTAAGCCTCAGCAGCTTGCCATGCTGTAGAAAGCTGCGTGACGTTCCATGGTGCTTGACGGAACCATGTTTTACTCATACCTCGCAACCACATGGTTAGATCAAGCACAACAGAAAATCTCGCTACATTATCACTACACCAACCACTAGGCCAGAGGGAAGACCGAGAGGAAAGACGAAGGGAGGAGAAAAGCTACGGACGGTCTGGAAGCATCATACTGTTCACATGACATGCATTCTTCCCGGAGAATGTGTATGAGCGTTGTGAGAGCGTAACTACCGAAGGGTGCCTGGAAACACAAAGAAGGGGCTATATGGAAAGGTGCCTCCCGAGTTCCTCAGAACTGCAGAGCGGAAACCACAGCTTTCGGGAAGAACATCCAGGAAGAAGTTGAAGGTAAGCTACAAGGACAACAGAGACGCTCAAGAGATCTGTGGTTTCTTCATGGAAAACGGGCGCAAAACATCAAGACTAGAAGGAGGTACATCAGGGACTGAAAAGAGGGTATGTTACATTTCAGATGAGACACTTTTACTTACAGGCCAAATGGTGAATTCCTGCAAAAGAAAAGATCACCAACAAGGAAAGAAAGACAGAATCATCCTAGTTAAGGTTACAGACACATGTATATCAATCTATGTTCTCTTCCTTGTTCCTTTACTATGACAGTCATGGGATGGCACTGTGTCATGTGTTTGCCGTGCTTTGCAAAATTCATAGCACCTTTGAAGTATCACGGCTTACAGAAAATGCAATGGTTTAAAAGATGTGCAGTAAAAATTAAATGCTCATGGGTTCCTTTAACAGCTGAATTGTCTGCAAGACCGGTTTTCTATTGTATTATTACTGGAATGTTTAGAATGCCATACAGAAGAGCAATTGAGGAATGCACATATAAAATGAATGAAAAGCCAATGATGGAAAGTTGCAAGGACTATAGATAGAATCTATGCATTAATAGTTAAGGGGTAGGTCACATGCTTCTGAATGACCTCCAAGTTTTAAGGCTTATTACTTCATGGGAACATAATCAGAATCCCAACAAAAAATTTGAAATGCCAAATATAACAATGTATGTGTCACATTATATTATAGAAATAAGTGCCATTCTATTTATTGAAGAATCTGGTTTTTTTCCTGTCTTCAGAGATTACTCCACATGAAAGCTAACAGTATTCTGATAACAGTATCGACAATAGGTTCACTGAGTGCATTTCTAAAATTTAGAGTCAATACCATGGTAATCAACAATTCTTATTTTAAAACCATTTATTAGGTAGACACAAATCTTAAATAGTACTTGAGATGGAAAAAGCATAATGGGAAACAAGTAATCTATGTGCCACAGCTTCTATAAGTTATTTTAAAATATAAACTGAATTATCAAACCTTCAGGATTAACACATAATCTTTCATATAGAAGTTATTTTCTAAAACAGATATGGGCTCCTATCTTCTAGCAAAAGCAGAAAACGTAACTATCACAACAACATGATTTTTTTGTATTGCATTGAGTTATACTGGTATTTTTGTATCTAAATTATTAAGAAGCTGAACGGAATAATTTGGTAATTACTAGGTGAATTGCCACAGTATTGGGATTCAAATCATACTGGTATGCACAGTTTGGTTTTCAGAGTATTCCTTTTTTTTTTTCAGTTAAGTCTCAATTGTTAGGTAACTTTGCACTTAGTTGGCTAAAAATAACAAAACTTATACATTGATGATGAACTAATCAATTGACCTCAGCACATTACTGGTTATACATGAAGACACAATATGTAGACTATTGATCATTGAAATTCAAATTAATCGATATAATTAAATCTATTAAATATATACAATTAATTAAATGATAAGAGTAAGTAATAAATACATCCTTAAAATCAAGGCCAATCAGTACTTTATCTACATTTTAATACATAGTGTTCTGGAGCAAACAATCAAGAGGCATTTGCACAGTTGGCAGGCAAGACCAAAGTAAGTAAAGGACACCCTTGAAAGAGCTAGCTCTACACTCATCAGTGTGAAGGTGTCCCATGGAAGCAAAGGGAGGAAACACCACAATCGCATCTTTAGAAACATGGTCTCCTTCTGCTTAGATTATTCGAGGCATTTAGTGCCCATTAGCTGTTAATGACTTCAAGATGGATGTGAATATCCCTTTGGTAGAGAAATAATCCGACTCCAGACAGGCAAGAACGTACAATTACAAATAAATTAATAATTAAAAAAACAAGTGCAGCTAAGTCAGCATAAAACAGCTGCTTTATATTTTAGAAAGAACGAACGTAAGCAGAAAGTCTTTTCAAACCCAGAAGCTTTTAAAAAGTAAGTTTTTTTCCCCGAAAATGCAGTTCTGCATATTTATACCTGATTTTATATAGAACTAGCTCTTTGACAATAGAGAGGCTGCTGTCTTTAAAACTAGCCTAGTAAGCTACATTTTAAAAACAGGCTGAAAGATTAGAGAGAGAGAGAAAAAAACATGATTTAAGTAGTAAGCCATAGGTTCAAACATTTTGGCTACTGTGAAAAACTGCAGATAATGTGCAAAGGAGAAAAGGAAGAAGGTGGGTTGGTTTTTTTTTTTTTTAAATAAGAGTTCAAAATCAGAAGCTGCATGCAGAGGTGGGGCTTTCAGGGTCCAGCTACAAGTGATCTATGCATAAGTCCCTCTATCTATGGAGTGTTCACTGTACTTCCCAAAGCATGCACATCAATGTTTAGAAGCTATATAAGTCAAGGAAAGGGTGTCTGCAGTTAGTCCTACCACCGAGCAAAACCTACCTGGAATGAAATACTGTTCTTTAGCTAAATAAAAAAAAAGAGAAAAAATAGAAGATGTACCTGAATGTCAGCAAGCAGAGATATGAGTTATATTAGATCAAGAATGGGCTAAAGTTATACAAATAACTAAGTGACAAAGCATATTCACAGAACTAAAACAATACACAGTGAGTGATAAACTTACAAAGATGGACAATAACAAATATAGTTTTTATATTAGATGTTTAGCATGAATTAACTACACAATGGTTAATGTGCCCAGAAGAATTAGGTAGCACACTCCCCAAATGACAGTGAATGTTTCCTAACATCAGCACACATATAACAGTAGACCAACATGAACAATGGTTCCCACTTAACAGTTATGCAATGATTTGTGTTGGGTAAATGCAGTATTTCCCAACTGTGAAAAGATAGTCTCAAAAAAAAAAAAAATGTGGCTTCCCAGTTTATCCCAGAAAGAAAAGCGGCATCAGGAAACTCCTACCCTCTACTTCTGAAAAAAAAAAAATAACCCATGTAATCAAGTCTTATTTTGGATTCTGAATGAATGAAAGCATGTCTGACAGTTTGATATTGGTCACTAGAGACTGGTACAACAAACAGGAGGAGTAACACCACTTTTAAGCAGCATTTCCAGTTATCTGAACCGTAAGGGCATACACACTAAGAGGGACCCAGGCACCATTTCATTGTTTGGTATTCATTTTGCTGGTTATATTATTTGGGTTGTGTCTATATTTCTCCCACTTTCCTCCTCCCCAGACAGAAGGAAAAAAAAGAGATTGTACAATGCTTGGTAATCAGCTGAAGGCAGCTGCTGTCGCTAATTCTCAAGTAGCCATAGCTTTCGGTCCTAAGGGAAACGGCTCATGAAGTGAGAAATTACCTGAACAACGGAATTTCTTGCTTTTGATCTGTCCAATTCTTTTGTTAGCCAGGCGGCGGGGGCTGGTGCAACGGGCACCGCTGGTCTCAATTGGGTTGGTGTGTAGATAATCCGCTAGCCACTTGAGATGGCAGTCACAAATGAAAGGGTTCTGGGCCAAATGCCTTTCAGAAACACAGCAGAGGAGTTTTATACATGATTTGCTTACAAGTCGCCTCTCACACTCACATTGAAAGTAATCATCATTATACTTGGTAAAAGTTGTGAATACATACATAGTTTGGATGGCTCTGAGAGCTGAGAAGGTGCCCTTGGCAACAGTCTGAAGCTTGTTGTCATACAAGGAGAGTAGGTTCAAGTTGTGAAGGTCCTGAAAAGCATCTACCCGAAGGCAATTTATCTTGTTGGCATTCAATAATCTGTTTGATCAAACAGTCATAAAATTAAAGTGTAGCAGCTCATTAACTCACCTGTAATATAGCCCTTCTGTAGGAAACCCAATCAAGAGAAATGCATTTAATTTTAAAACTAATGTTGTAAATTTAATAATAATGTAGGAACTCTGAATGGGAGATTGGAGGATTACATTAAAAAACAAGAGACAAATGGTAAAATGAACTGAAATCAAGTGGTTCAATAAAAATGATCAAAAGACTGTAAAAGATAACTGAGAGGTAAAACCATAGACAAAGGTAGATGAGGCCTAGCTGCTGTTGTCAAGAGCAAATTAAAAATAATTTAGGGCCGGGCGGTGGTGGCACACGCCTTTAATCCCAGCACTCGGGAGGCAGAGGCAGGCGGATTTCTGTGAGTTCAAGGCTAGCCTGGGCTACCAAGTGAGTTCCAGGAAAAGGCACAAAGCTACACAGAGAAACCCTGTCTTGAAAAACAAAAAAACAAAAAAACAAAAAAAAAATTTAGATGATTATTAGTGTCTCCAGTCACTTTAGAATGTTAGTCTCCGAAAACAGCAACCAGAGTGGTCCTTCACGACATACCCCCCACAGGACCATGCAATAGCTCTGGTCTGAGTACAAGTCTAGACAGAGAACATCCTTCAGAATTAATGTCCAAAAGGGTCTATAGCTCACTCTTGGGATACCACAGCCTCACTCAGTACCCCCCACCCCCCTGTGGCTACTTGAGTTGACACTTTGCTCTTTTCCATTATGATCAGATTCGATGTCCTCTATTCAGAAATGTCTCCCAGATTGCTAATCACATTGCTTTTCTGGATTCTGCTAAACACAAACATGATCTTCTTCACCCCTACACTGCCTCCTATATTTTCTGGGTTTCTGCCCCTTTCCAATACCTAATTCTTTCCATTCATTATATTCAGTCTATTTTTTTCTGTTTTTCTAACATATATATATATATATATATATATATATATATATATATATAT